AACAATGGCTGACAAATGACAAGCAATAGATGGGGCTGGCACGACTTGCCCTTGGGCCCTTTCCCTGGGACGGGACCCGAGGACCATCCGGGTCATCCGGCAGATGGGACATGGCTGGAATCTCCACTGAATTCTTTGATGACTATGGACCTCTTAAAAAATGGCCCCCACACGCACAATTGATCCACTGGGAGTTGAAATGTTTGAGCCACAACCATAGCTCTAGAACCGATGGGCCTAGATTGGGCATTGGGCATGCTTGGGCCATTCGTTTTTTTGTGTTTTTTTGGGCCACTATTTGTGCACCAGAATCATACATGCGGCTACAGCCGAGGTCAACCTTTCCGTGCATACTCAATGCCTGCTGCTGCAATGATGACGATGTTCATCGCGCCCAGGATTGAATATCATGGGGTTTCACCCATCCACACGTCCGAAGATATTAAAAAATATGTCAGTATTGATTTCTGGTTTTTCATGCTTAATTAATCCTCGATTCTTGTAAACATCCTCATGTTTCACGTTTGAACATTGTTCTTCATGATTATCCTACCATTTCTGATAGTACAAATGTCATTGTTAAACCACATTTCCTGGTTGTCATGGTTACCCAGCCACCATCTCCAGCCTGCCGGTGCTGCAGTTTCCGCTCCAGCTTCAGCAGTTGGAGCAGCCTGGGTGCAGTGGATCGGTTTAAGGGATCATCATTGGGAACATCTTCACCAGAAAGCCATGGGTTTTCCCTGTCAACATGTCCCCATGTTCCCCTATAAACCAATGATGCAGCAATTTAATTTGAATGTACTATGGCCGATTTTGGCTCCCTTTGTATCGTCTGTATGCCGCCTATATACATGACTTACATGACACAATTCATCATGTTCGTTCCAGTTCAGTTGTACCTGTTTCGTCTTTGACTGTTTTTGCAACAGCAGTTAGTTAACTGAGCATTATCTGTGCTGTAATTTCTGAAGTGTCACAGTTAGTTGATGAAGCATTGTTCTCTAACTATGCTGCTCTTACAGGATACAGAGTTGCTAATGTTGGCTTATCTTCAGCCTCAGCAGCCATTTCACGCATATGTAATACATAATGTAGTGAATGAGACATTTTTTGAAGACACACATTCTGACAAGGTAGATTGGTTAACATTATACAAATTTATACAATAGCGTTAGCTGTAAGTTTCTGGCGACTACATGTGGTGATTAAATGTCTGCTTAAAGTTCCATTGTTTGCATTGGTTCGCAAGATACACCACAGTATTCAGCAGTGAGTTGTATTCTTCCAGAGATCGTCAAGCTTCAACAGGAACTTCTTGAAGCCCCGGGCCTCGCCTCGGAAGCTGGCCTTGAACGACAAAATTCACCATGCCATTTTGTCAAATCTTGAAATGTCTGCCCATCCGGGCTCACCTTGACCCAAACATGTTGGGCCCTTTTTTTGAATCTGTATCAACCTGTTTCAATCCGTCAAAATCTGGTTGCATCCCAGGAGATCCAACGAATCGAAACAAACGAGTCGAGTTCCCGGCGCCGGCTCAGCCGGAGCTGCAGACCCGGGTGCTCCTTTTGCGCCCTTGCCGCCCTTCCTGGGTGAATCAGACAGAGATTCCCTTCACCTGAAGAATGATACCCATAGGATCCATGGTGCTGGTATATATGCTAACATTGGGGGTATATTGATGGTAAATGTTACCATATATGGCATACATGGATCCTATGGTATGGTTATCAATGGTCAATGATAATCAACGTATTATCAACAGATAATCAATGATTGTGACAAAGACAGATAAATAACAACAGTCAACAATAAGCATACCATGCTAATAAAAACCACTGAAAAAAATGGTTCAGTAGTCGATTTGGCTAATTCGGGGATACCCAGAATTTGCTTTCTACTTTCATTAGGTAACAAATGGGTAATATGGTAAACCATAGTAAACCTAACAATTAATTAATAAACCATCCTTTATATTACCATACATATACATGGGTGGTAAACATCATCACCAAACAGTAGGTTCATTGTGGGGTTGACCGCATGAACTTCTTCCCCCTGTCACCTCAAAGCACTGAGGATCCAAACGCCTTGCCCTTGGACTTTCCTGCGGCCCGTGGCCGAGGACATGCCATCCGCCCTCTTGGATGATTGCGATCTTTTCCACCACCAAAAGGATGGTTGAAGCCTATAAATCATGGGATAAACCATCAACTATACAGGATTTCGCTGGCCCAGCCACAGATATCCAGAGTATCTAGCAAGAAAATCGAGAACCAGTGGACCTACATTGGACATGCTTGGACGATCCCTAGCAACAAAAGTTTCGCCAGCATACTCTGGTCCTATGGCTATGGGCCAATAATTCAACAATTACAGTACCCTGTTGCTCTGCTGATGAAGATCAAAATTTATGGTCCATTTTGACATATTTAGATAGAAATGGATGTTCATCCCTTTTCATATTTAAAGTCATTTAAAGTCACGTCCACATTTTCGAACGCCAATCCCCGAGAACCTCGTCCCCAAAACGGCCCTTGTGGGCATGAGTCAATGTCATAGCTATGGGGATCTCAGGAAGCCATTTCTGGTAGAAACCAACTAGTTTTCCCATTGCAAAAAAAACGCAATTTCTGGGGTCAAAACACAATTTCTGATGATTTTCCTGTAGCAATCAAGTATGGCAACTGGAAAAATGTCGCATTCCTAGGGGAAATCCACTACAAATGGAGGTTTAAAGGCTGGGAAAGTCAACTATCTGTGGGAGATGTTCCGGCAAGCTACGTTTTGATGCCCGGAGGGTGCAGACTTTCAAAGTCACCGTAAAACTGCGATCTGATGATGTTTTTATGATGTTTGCCAGTAAAATCATCCAATCTTTGGCTGAATCTGGCAATGGAAACCACTCAAAACGGGTGATCTTCGCCAGAGCTGGCGCTTCACCATCTCCCGCCTCCCGCGGCTGGTGCGGCTTCAGCTCCAGCAGATGCGGCAGATTCTGCAGCCTAAGATCCAAGATTGGATGGCGATTCGTATCCTGGTTGGTTCATCAAATATATATATATATATATAGATAGATAGATCGATATATATTAGATATATATATATAAATATTAGATATGTATATATATATATATATGACATTAAATGATATGAAATGAAATCTATGGATCTCTCTCTATCTATCTAAACCAATCTAATCCAATCTAATCTAATCCTTTCTATCCTTTCTATCCTTTCTGCCGTATCTATCCTATACTATCTTATCCTATCCAAGCCTGTCTATTCCAACCCAATCTAATCTAATCCATCTAATCGATTTTACCTACCCAATTTATCTGACCTTTCCAACATATCTATTCTATCTCATGTTCTCCAATCCATTATCTTTTATCTGAATTTATCTTATCCTAACCTATCTATCCACCCATCCATCTATACACTGTATCTGTATTAGAGATAAATGTGTATAATATATATAATATTAAATATATTAAATATATATATACATATGGAATATCAATGTGTTGATATGTCAAGTGATGCTAGATGGAATTGTCGCAAGGCTCGAGCTGCTGCCGCGGCTGCCCCATCACGGAGCCGTTGAGAGAAGCGTCGGCCTCATCTACAACGTCACAATGAAACTCAATGGATGTCAATATGAGCCTAATTTAGGCATTCGTATTCAATATGAAGTCAAAATAAGTCCAGAAACAAAAGTGTTATTAATCCGATTTTTTCAAAAGAATAATACAGTACATGTATATAGTCAGTACATATTCCCATGTGTATGTATATATATATTTGTATATACGTGTGTGTATATAATTTTGAAACCTCATCGTTTCGCATCCTCTTGCAGGACAAGCTATGCTCATCTAAGGCTTCCACGGGCCTTTGCACGGGTCTTCTTCTTGACAGTTCTCTTCCCATCAAATTCCTGCGCTGGGACTATGTATCCATAGTTGAAGCGGTTATTCACATCATATCGAAATATAACCATTGTTAGAGGGTCTGTAACCATACGGATGTAACTTCGGATTGTATCGACTTATAGTTAGTAGTTAGTTAGATTTATATAGTGTATATATATATATATATGTATGTATATATGTATATATATATATTATATAAATATACCAACTATAGAACCATAGTTAGAGGGGTTATATCATGTTATATCCCAACTATCCCAACTACTGGGGGTCTAAATATGCCAAACTTCGATTTCCATCTCCCCAGTCCGACGCACCGTGGGCTTGGGACCCTCAACCGGCCGGCCTTGAAAGACCAAAGGATTTGGAGATCGTCCTGGCGAATGAGTGAAGCATTAGGGGATTACCACCATTTTATGACATTAATAGTGTAACCATATGGGTGGTAATATGGTGGTATCATATAATGGTTACTATATGACACTAATATACATTAATGGTTTTATGATGTTTTATGGTGGTATCATATATATAATTACTTAATATACATTAATAATTACCACCATATGGGTAATACCACCATGAAAGTGTATATTAGTGTCATCCCCATTAGGTGATTACCACCATAATAATGATGGAATGACCACCAATTAGGTGATTACTAGCATAATAATTATGGGGACATTGTGACATTATTATGACATGTTCAGATCTTTTGATGGAGAAATTTGGCCCAAAAAAAATCACCGACGTTTCTGATTTTTGGCCTTTGTCATGGTTTGTGTCTTAGAAAGGGGAGATTTAAGCTCAAAAGTTGGCTACTGGAGAATGATGGATGGATGAGAATGGGGAAAACGCTGCTTTAATCTACTGGATTCTGGGGTGTTCCCCCTAAATGTTCAGACGAACCCATATGGAACAGCTTCGATGAACATGTCTGCTGAACAGACTCCAAAATGAGACAGTTGAAATCATGTTGAAAATACACATGTTCTATACCGTCCGGAAATCAGCCACATGGCAGTGGATGTTCTCCACCATTTACAGATTTGCCCCAGGCCGTTACATGGCAACACTGGCTGGGCTGGCAGAAGAGACAGCTTTGTTCTGACAGAAGGCCGGCAGCATAAACTCCTGACGGCCAACATCATCAGTGAACAGGAAGTCCCCTATAAATGGAGCTTTTACTGGAATATTTAGCTATAAATTGATGATTTTCCATTGCTACGTTGGATTACCAGAGGGTAGACACTGTGTATTGAACCAAACCAGCAACACATTGGTGAAATTGGTGCATGATCTTGATGTGCACCACGGAAACACACCAGAATGTTTGAGAAGGAGAATTCGGAATCTCAGCTCTGTTGAGAGGGATGACAAGGGTCCAGTATGTTCGAGCAAATCTCATTACAATCCAATTAGTTTCAGTCCTTCTTCATCTTCATGTCGGCATTGAGTATCAAATTTGCAGGGATCAACAGGTTGTCCCACAGCACGCAGAACCTTTGATGCAATACAATTGGGGCCAAATAAAGAACCATGAAGCACTTCTTGAAGCATCCCGCATCATCCCGCTACATTGAGCAGAGTTGGCAAGACTGGCCTCTAAGCTCAAGATGTATAGGATTGGGGACGTCTTCAACCCAAAATCAATGTTGAAAGGGATAACAAGGAATAACGAGGAATAATAAAGAACTGCTATAGCATCACACTCTGGATCTGGAAAACTCGCCCCAAAACTCCATGAGTTGGTAGTTCGCGGGGAATTGAACCAAGCAAAATTGGGATATGGTGAGAATTTACTGTGAATCTGAATATAAGGGGATTCATATAACCAACAATATGTACAGTAAAATATGATATTTGAGTGTACCTGAAAATTGGGTTTCCCATCCAAATATCTAGGGAAAATCATGATCAACTGGATAAAAAGGGGATTTAAGTTGATTTAAGGGGTATCTATTTCAGGCAAATCCTCGTGCTGGTTCAGCAGAGAGACTCGTTGCTCTTCATCGCTTGAATTTTGAACCACTTCAGCAACTGTCCCTCGGAGGCAGATCAAGTTGATGAAAAAATACGCTGGACTCCGCTGTACTCTGCGGTTCAAGATATCTGGTAGGCTATATAGTTATAGACTTATGTCATATATATATATATACATAGTATTATATACATATATATAGTATTATATAATATATACAGTACATATATTATACATATAGTATTATATATATATAGTATCATATATTATATATATATGTGTGATTGTGTGTGTCTCAGAGGTGTTGACCTATGCCCAATTCTTTTGCACACTTGGAGCCCTTCTCATTGCGAGTCATATGTCATGCGGAGTTGCTAACAGGATCTAACAGGGGTGTTCCCTCCAAAAGGCTGGTGGCAACCAGGGCTATCCGCAATGGCTTTCAAGCCAAGATGCATATTTCTCCTGCAGGTTGCAAGCATGAGAACCAAGTGGCTAAGTATCATAAAATATCATGGATCGACTCATGCTGAAAGTGATTCCGCAATTTCAAAAGTGAAATTCCAAAACTCTTGTCCCCCAACCTGCTCAGGAATTCTGGGGACTTCCGTCTGCAGTACACGAATAGGGATGAGCCATGTCAAGCATCCCCCAAGTTGAGATTTCACAGATTGCAGAATCTCCTTCGCAGTGTCTTTCAAGGACAACAACTCATCAAGTTTCTCTTTGGCTTCTGAATAGATCTTTGGCATTTGCATCTTGAAGGGATCTGCAGGATCTTCGAAGTATGACAAAATCATCCTAGGCGGTCAGCACGGGAGCAGCACTGGCACCGGGCACTGGCACACCGGGCTGGCCCGAGCTGGTCATTTTTTGAGAAAAAACATACCGGGTTCTTCAAAAAAAACAGCCATCCACAGGAAACCACAGAGATACCCTGCTTACCCCCGCAACCCCCAACTTCAATGTTGTGATCGGAAGTGCCGCGCATCATCAACAGAAATGGCTGTTTTTTTTGAAGGCCGCCAAACACAAAATTCAGAAGACAACATTGAATTGGGGACGGGGGGTGGCATGACCTCTCTGGTGTGGTACTTCATGAGATGGCTGTTTTTTTTGAAGAACCCGGACTCAGAAAAGACACAGTAGGATGGACCCATGGCTGCGGACAAACGCGAAAATGATGACGAAATGTGTCAGAGAAAGCATCGGGATCAGTTTGGGCGGGTGTTTGTGTGTGGGTGTGTCTGTTTGCTTGCGCGGGCGCATATGTGCTAATATGGGTTGTGCTAAGTGAAATACATGCAGCGACAGTCTTGACACCTTTTTGACCTGATTCCGCAATGTCGTGGGGTGCACTGGCTGTCGTTCTGCGTGGCAGGCGCGCCACTTTGAGAGCGTGACTGCTCTATCCTGCACACCTGCCATGCAACGCACATGCAACACACATGCAACACACATGCAACACACATGCAACACACATGCAGCACGACATGCAACATGAGCTTTTGACCTGTAAATTTACAGTCAACGTGCAGGATTTGACGTTTGCAGCCCCAACTCCGGTCTTAGAATGGAAAGTGTAGATTTTTGCCCCCGCGGCCACTTTGCTTGGAAATTGACAGGGAAAATGCTCGTGTTGCATGTGTGTTGCATGTGTGTTGCATGTGTGTTGCACGTGCGTTGCATTGGCAGCCGTGAAGTGGGGAAGTAGAAAACAGCGTGGCAGGCGCAAGAGTTGTAGGTGGCAGGGGCGAGACTTTGGAAGCTGAGCGCCTTGGATATTACATTGTCGTGGTGGCCCGTAGCATCCACCTTTGTGGGGTTGTCGCATATTATACAGAATAAGTTTTGACAACCATCTTGGGTAAATTTCACAAGCTGATGGTTAGCCCTTAGCATCCACCTTTTTGGGCTGTCACAGATTACAGAAGTGCATGCTTTGACAATGCGTAAATTTCAGAAGCTGATGTTGTCGCATCGATGTGTGTGGATGTGTGCTGATCTACATCCACATGCATATTAACAACAGTTAAAATGAACTCGGAACCCCAAAAAAAAACTCACCGGGTTCTTCAAAAAAAACAGCCATCCACAGGAAACCACAGAGATACCCTGCTTACCCCCGCAGCCCCCAACTTCAATGTTGTGATCGGAAGTGCCGAGCATCATCAACAGAAATGGCTGTTTTTTTTGAAGGCCGCCAAACACAAAATTCAGAAGACAACATTGAATTGGGGGACGGGGGGTGGCATGACCTCTCTGGTGTGGTACTTCATGGGATGGCTGTTTTTTTTGAAGAACCCGGTATTACATGGATATTACATGGTTGGTCGCTTCAATTCCTCAGTTCTTAGATGTTCTTAGGCATTTGTTTCTAAAGCCCCGCACTTGGTTGATCAAAAACTCTAATTCTACCATTCTTGTAGAGCATGGCTACACATATACATGTGGTTCACGCCACAGTAGCTAGTAGCCAAGAATGTTTATCTCCCATGCATATGTGCAAAATCAGGTTTCTAACCCTTCTCCATATTTTTGCTGTACTGCTCTGAAATCTCTTCCAAGACTCTGCATCATTTCGTGTTTTGCAACGAAGTCGGAGTGCCTTGAGGCCAAACAAAACAGTTGTGCTGGACCATTCCTAAAATGTCCTGACATCAATGCATAAACATACTACCCCACATGCAAAGTAGATGGCACAAACCGTTTCAAAAAAGGGAGGTCATATAAATACATGCGAATACAAATGTCTTGTTGAGAATTGCTGAAACCATAGACATGCCTTGGAATAATGAAGATTCTCAGCCTGTCAGCAGGCCGTAAAGCCTACACTACTTTTTTTTCCACTTCAATTTCGACTTCAACAAGGCAAGCAAAGAATCTTAGAGGACAGATATGCCCCTTCGGCCCAGAAAGAAAAATAAGAAAACACAGCTTTCGGAGATTTGCAGATCGGATGATATGGACCATGGTTCCATGTTTTTTTCCCCGAGGCACAGCGCCGTGACACAGAGGTCAAAGTCCTCAAAGGCGATTTTGGCGGACTTATCCAGCTTTTCCTTGGAAAATCTTCAGCCGTTTTTGTATAAGGTTTTTCCCATCAACTGGGGAGGTGCCGGTTTCAAGTTTCCCCAACAATTCAAATAATTCAATTGTTAGCTTTTAGCCAAAAGGGGACCATAAAAACAACTTACCCTCTGGTAATTTAACATAGCTATGGAAAATCACTATTTTTAATGGGAAAATCCATTATAAATGGTCATTTTCAATAGCTATGTTAGTTTACCAGAGGGTAAAAAGCATCAATCCCCAGTAGATGTCCCATTTTTCGGGTCGCCAAGGTCGCCAAGTTTCTACCCCATCTGAGTCCTTGCTGATTCGCCGATTCCTTGGGGAGACATGGCACCTTTTTTTGGGTCATTAAAATGACCCTGTAGCGACACCAAAGCACAGGTGGTAAATCTGTTGAAAGGATCTTCATACCAAATTATGTTATAATTCAGGTTATATTTAAAGTTATATAAACCCCTCTTTTTATTCTTCATACCTACAGTAACAACATGCGTGCAGCTTTTTGGTGCAGTTGGGCGTCATGTTCACCATACAGGGCATGATCTCCTCCATGAACTGCGACGACTGCTCATTCATCCGATTCAGGAAAAGATCAAAGATGAAGTGCCTGGAGCACGAGAAGCGAGGGAACCAGCCATGCCATCATGCTGTGCCAAGCGCACAACGTTTGGTCATCATAAAAATTGCATTTAACGTCCATGGTGAATTGTGTTTTTGATGGTACCTGCAATATAACATGTGTATATATATATACACATATTATATACATATCCATTATCATCCATATATATATAATTATATATCTATCCCATCGGATATCCCCACTAATATTCCATTCAAACAGTACTCAAGAGTTATATCCTCATCATACCACCTCCAGTCTCAGGTACCTGATTCTCCCATCTGATATCCCTGCTCGTATTCCATTTCCACCTATAGTCATCCTGGCGTTCCTGAAGTAGATAGAACATTCAAAAAAAAACTCACTAAAATATGGGAATATGTATGTAAACTCCAGATTCTATCTACTTCAGTATGATTACGTATATATACATATATATAATATATACATATATATATATATATACATATCTCTATATATATATATACACATATATATATATATACACACATATATATATATATATACATATATATATATATATATATACACATATATATATATATATTCAAGAAAAATATTCGTTCACATTCCGTTCCCAGCCTGATGTCTTTGCCAGTGGCATCCTTAATGCCTTCCAGCTTGGCCAGGGACTCGATGTCAAAGCCATCGGCTTGGCCCCGATTGGTGCCGCCATTCAGGAAGTTCCCCACAGCTAAAATGATGCCTGGACGTGGCCAAAAAAACGCCGGGAATTCATGGGAATTCATGGGAATTCATGGGAAATCATGGGAATTCATGGGAATTCATGGTCAGTAGGGATCCAAAAAATGAAGACTTGAAGACTTTGATGGG